AAACCTCGCGATTTTTCCTAAGATTAAAAACAGTTTAATTATTTTATATTAATATTTAATGTACCTAAATATATTGTCTAAAAATTACAACAAATTTTACTTGTGCTATTTCAATTAATCTATTTATATTTACTATATTTTAATTGTTGAATAATTTCGTCACTTTCTTCTACTTCAATTTCAATCTTATTTAATGGAAATTTTAAAATTATAAAGCCATCTTTTATCTTTGTATACCGTCTCTAGTCATTTGTCAAATACATGAATTGACATAACCGCCTGTGTATGAGATCATGTTTAAGCTTAATTTATAACCGCCGTAACGTAACTTAAGAACTTAACGTAAGAAGTTGAAATATTGAATTTACGTATACTTATTTATAATGTTCGTAACGTAACTTAAGAACTTAACGTACCGTAGAAAGTTCACAAACTTTTTAACTTAACAACATAACTTAACTTAAGACCTTATGGTTAGCCAATGAGATAATTCTGCGTTCAGCATGTGATAACTGTCAATTATTCTCTTTTCATTTTTTTTTTTTATAAATAAATAGAAAAATACCATTTGTAAACTATCATTCTCCATTTTGATGGACATACATTATCATGAATGATTTGTGTTTATGTTATTGGGGATAAACTATCTATGAGATATGAGTGTAGCTGCATATACCTATAAACATCAAGTCTAGAACTGAAACAAGACACAAAACTTTTTTACTAGGAAAGATTAAATTCTCATTATTGCTCAAAAACAATCAACATCTTCGGTAAACTATTTTGTTTTATTATATTTCTATATTATTGCTTTTAAAGTAGTTAATATATTCTTTCTATATAGCAAAATCATAATTTATAAGTTTTATTTAGAGGTTAAGTACATAGTTTACACTTGTTTATTTCATAAGGTTGTCAATAATTTGATAATCTCTGAAATTAACACGCATGCTCAACTCTTACGTTACGGACATTTATAAATAGACTTTATTTTTATATCTTAGGTTAAGTTTCTACGGCGTTAAGGTTTATGTGGACCCCCGGAAAAAGTATCTACACGTTCAAAATTTTTGAAAAAATGTGTGAATGTATATACAACCTTAAGTATTATTTTACCAAAATTTGATATGGTTTGTATCATTTGTTCTCAAGAAAAATCGGAAAATTTACTTTTTTACAAGTATAAAACAAAGAAACTAGACTATCAAGAGAGATCATTATTTCATGAAATAAATTAGTTTTGGTTAAGAAACTTACATAAATTTTTTGAAAATTTTTGAACTTGCAGAAATGACGTAATTGAAGAATATATTTATTTTATTAACAAAAATTAGATTTAAACTATAAAAATGAATGTAATATTCAAGAATATACCTTCAATAATTATATTTAAAGACATTGAACTCAAAACATTATTAAGTTTTTTATAAATTTAGTGAAAAATTCAATTAAACAATAACACTATTTTGAATTTCCTCTTTCAAAGTCTTATCTCTGAGAGGTGCTGCCATCTCAATTAGTACTTTCTAAAATTGCTCACAGAGAGCACTAAATTTCCTACTCAAACAGAAATTTCGGATGTCCGCGTACACCAACGCTACCGTGTTGCCAGATCGAGTTGTATTACTAAGTTCGCTGGATTAAATAAATATTTTTCTATTAATAATTCGGTCGATGCAAACGTACCTATTCATTTTACAGAATATTTGAATTATTTAATTATTAAATGAAAGGTACATTCTGAATGATGCATGTGTTTTATCAATTAAAAAAGTTGAACAGATGTTTACCAAATATCAGTATTATGTTAATTGCATGTTGATTAGTTTTTGGTAGAAATTTGATCGTAGGACGATATTTAAGAAGGTTGGCAAGTAAAAAAAAACGGATTTTGAAATTAAAACAACAGGTATTTAGTAATGACATTTTTTCTGTTAAAAAATATAAATTCGTAAAAATCTGATTGGCTCAAAAACCATATTACCTTAGTAGGTATTTCATATTTTTTTTAAATAAAAAAAAACTATTTTTATTATAAATAAATTTATTAAATATACCTTTTAAAAATTCTTATTGATCCTACAAAAAATAAATCATCGCTAAACATTTACTTAGTAAAAATAGTTATGGTTTTCCTAAGGAACAATTTTTTTCCATCAGCAGTAGTAGAACAAAAGTATTTAACATGTTTTTGTGGATTTAATAGTGTAAATTCTCGAGCTGAGTAAAAACACTTTACTTAAAAATTTTTAGCATCATCTATCAATCCATCCGGTGAAGTTCCTAAGAAACGATAACATTTTTCTTAAAAGATGAATAAACCACATTCAACAACTGTATTCTTTGTAATAGAAGCATATGTTTCAATTGCAACAGTTTCGTTAAGTTTAACATCTATATCTGTAACGTATGTAGGGTGGGTTAACCCACGGCACTTAGGCCTTACTAAACCCATTTTACATCTTCCTAAATAGATAGGCACCTCCTAGCTCGTGAGCCAGCCTACAGATTTAATGTAGTTGACAATATTGCCAAGAGGTGCCTTTCTTATATCGGCTGATGTTAGCCAATTATCAACGAATACAAATCATTTAATAAATGTGAGCATCGATCACTTGTAGACGATATACTCGATGATATCATCTTTTTGTTTGCACCCTTTGCAGAGTGCGGATTCTGCCAGCCCCATGACATGGAGATGTTTCCCTACTTGGCAGTGACCCGTCAGAATCATATAAAGGGACAATTCTGCTTGTGGTATACTCGTTTTAACTTTTACGGTCTCCTCCCCGGTTATGACCACTATTCTTGTTTTTTTTTTTTAATGAAACACCCTATATATTAGTAAGACAATAACTCAAAATCAATCCCATATAAATTAATTTTATTAAGTTAAATGTTTTGGCCTTAGGACATCATCAGGTCTAAAAATTAAGTGATAAGCGCTAACAAAACACTACTAGGACGTCCCCATAAAAAGGTTAAAAAAATACACGTACATGATTAAAACCGAGCCCCAACAAGGGTAAGGTAGTTGTAAGAAATATCATATGTGGTACATGTTGATAAATGTGAGAATATGGCGATGAGTAGTGTTAGCCTATAAGTTTCTTTATGCAAATCTTTTTCAACTTGTACAATTTCTATCATATTTCCCACATATGGTATCTCTTACAACTGCCTTTTTAATCATACACGTGTATTTTTTTTTAAATATTTTATGGAGACGTCATTTTATATTGTAAGCGCTTATTACTTTATTTTTAGACCTGATGATGGCCTAATCCCGAAACCGGTTGTCATTTAACTTCCTAAAATTAAATAACGTGGGATTGATTTTGAGTCATTTTTTTATCTTTAAGGTACATATTAGTTAGTTACTCTGTATACTATCACATTTTTCTACTCTTTTATACTATTCGATTTCAAAAATGTATACCTGAGGTGTACATTGAATCGTCTGGAAGTTGCTTTTTTTGAGCTTTTGTTTACGTTCTTTCTTTCCCTTTCGGTTTTTTTTTTCCTTTCTCTTCTCACCTTTAAAATTATGGATAGTTTTCATTGAAATTATTTAATATTCATTTAATTATTAAATAGTACCCACACATAGCGCGCGAACGTATCCTCCAATCAGTTTTTTTTTATTTCAATTTTTTGACTGCGCGAACTGAGTCCATTCGCCAAACCACATAGATTATATTGTTCTAATTTTATACCATATTTTAAGGATAATGCGCTCACCCTAAATAATTTTATTTCAGTAAAGTTCATAGTTGAGAATGATTGAGCGGACCAGTGGAAGACTTAACAAAAGCTCGCCAGGTCATATCCATCTCTTAGCTGGATCGCTTGGGCCGTCCGCGCTCAACACCTCACCTCCCGCGGCTTACAACATAAACAAATAAAACATAATTATATTGAAGTTTGGCAACGTTCTTCGCATCGAATCATAAAGATCTCCCGCGTAATCTATTATTGTGCTAGCAGTCTCTTTTGGCGGCGATATAAACTAACGAAATATTATTCTATCACAGATAGAACCCTGTAACTTTAATAAATTGTATACTAAATTTGATGCGACAGGTAGAGCCATCTCTAGAGTCAGAAACGAGTGAGGAGGTGGGTCCATATAAACCTTAAGTTACGGTGGTTATAAATTATACTTTACAACCTCCCCTCCGGTCCTTGATGTCGGCCAAAATGGAAGATCATGCCTAAACATAAACGTTTATGTTGGTTTATGCCGCGAAAAATACCTTAAAGTGAAATATTTCGAATAAGATTGTTTTTATATAAAAAAAAAGTAAATTAAAACAATTTTTTTAAAAAATGATAAAAAAAAGTGAATAAAAACAAACAGTTAATAACGATCAGTGCCAATACGATGGCGGAAACGGTGACGCGAAGGCCTTCCATTTGGGGGGGTGGGGGGTGGAGTGACCCCCACAACCCCCGTGTTCTTTTTTTAATGCAAGGAAAAAGTTTCAAATTAAATTGGAAACTTTTTAAACATAGATTTTTTTAAATCATCTTAAAATTAGAAATAAATAAGAACGTCATATTTTCACAATTTACCTAAGTATCGTTAGTGTGCATTAAAAGTTCGATTACAATAAGAACATGGCTAGGTCATAATCATTATTTCCAACTTCAAATATGGGCAGCGAAAATTATGTGTTAAATGTTTGGTTAACTGTCAATGCAACCCAACCAACATTTCGTAACACAACAGTAATATGGCGTATGCTGTAGATTTGAGGTTTATTAAATATCAAGCTTAGAATATAATGATCCATTTTCACAATTTGATTCTAAAATTGGTACAATTCGCTTCTGAACATCATGCAGTCTTGTTACTTTGAATTTGTACATGTATTTGAATAACACCCTGCATGTTCCATATTGAGTGGAAGGCAGCTAGAGAACTGCAGATAATTCGATTGGATCTTGATATTCTTGTCTTAATAATGAATAAATAGGATAAAAGAAAACAAACAATAGACCGAGTTACATTTTTATTTGTATCATGTAATATTAAAACATATTTGGATATAAAAATTCATGTACCAACTAGTTAGAGTAGGTAACTAAACCCTCTTGTCAACATTAAGCGTTTGAAAATAAATATTTTCCTTTTCACTTATTTTATTCAATATAATTTACAAGATATAACATCATACAAGAAACTTTGTGGTAGATTATGTAAAATTAGTTTAACCAAAATAACGAATACAAATAACACTATCTTTATGATACACATTACTCTTATGAAGAGTACTTTTAATTATTTTCAACAATTTCACAGTTAACGAAATCAAAATGCAGCAGATCAAACTAACTCCGCTAGCAACATTGTTTGAATCAATACTATGCAATACTAGTACAGTAACTTGCTTAAAAATTCATAAAAAAAAACATACTCAAAATAATTCAAAACTGTTTTTTTTTTCGGAAGCTCCAGTTCGGTCTCATATAGTGTCAAGGAAACTTTGAACTAGAGTACACATTCTCACTTGGATTGGGTTTGAACCTGCAATTAAAATGTTTCATTTTAAAACATTAATATAATACTCAATATAAAAATATTTTGAATGTTCAGTAACAATGTTATAATTAAAATCTAAAATATTTCCCTTTAAAAATTAACCAAAAGTAATAATTTCTCAGACTTGTTTTTTTTTACTGAATTATATTTTATGCCATTGTCTTAACTGCTACATCATATTAGCTTTTAAATAAAGTTATGCAAATACAAGTAGTAATAAGAAAATTTATTTTATTCAGTTTTGAGTTTATCGGACACATTGTATTGCTTCTTGCCTTTTTATTAGATATTGGATTTATTAATGTTTAAATTCGTCTTTTTCTTTTAAACACAAATGTCAGTTTTATTAAAATTGTCACAAACACGGAGACAGTAAATATGATCAGTCTCTTTTACGCCTTTAACAATAACCACTATTCACATAAATGAACAAACCAAAAATAAATATACAGTCATAAAAATGTACATAATGAAGATTGTGTTAGGTCAAGACATGAATTCGCCATTAGGCATTACAAGGACCAAAGACCTGTCCAAATGGTTGCTGAAGGGCTTTGACAGGGTCAATGATTATATACAGTTATTTAGATTGCTCAAACCGGATCGCATTGCGAGCAGCCACATTGCCTCCAAAGTGCTTATCAATCAGAATATGTGTTTTGAAACCAAATTTCAGCCTTTGAATATAAAAAAACCTACATTTTTACTTCAAGGTATTTTGAAAAACATATGATCAATCTATGTAACTATATACCATTGACCTTAACGGAGCCTGAGGCAACCATTTTGTTTGCAATGCTTCATTTCTAACTGTGAAATCACTATCCACTGGTAATATCCCTAAATAAATTATTCTGGATATTTCAACTAATAGATGTGAATATTTGAAGGTGAAATTATGGTATTCCAGATAACATTATCTTATTTTTCAGTATAAATTACTTTATTTTTATCTACAGGTGAATGTACCAGGTCATAGAGCCCAGCAGAAAGTTATTTTATTAGCTTAAATATGGAAGTCCATAGCTGTTCACTTTTATTTTAAATCTGGCTTAGCTGAAAATTTGACACATTTCACTGTGTCTAATATTATTTATAGGTTATGCGCACACAAACCGCTCTAAAAACCGTTGACAAGTGGTGCAGAGAGCAGGAACTAACAGTAAACCCTCACAAAACTACAATAGTCAACTTGACAAGACGAAAAGTACTGACAAGACTAAAGTCACCAGTACTGAAAGGTGTGAAGATTCCATTCGCTCAAGAGGCCAAATACTTGGGGAGTCAGTCATCTTTGACCACAGGTTAACATGGAATCAACAAAAAGCCACCCAAAAGAGCGCACAGCATCCTTCAATTTATGTCGAAGGTTGTGTGGAAAAAATGGGGATTACAACCAAAAATGTTATAAGGCCGATAATAACCTATGGGTCGGTGGTATGGTGAACAAAGACTGCAAGCTGGAGCCATTCGACAGCTCAATGGTATTCAAAGGCAAGCATGCCTGAGTACCACAGAAGCCATGAGAAGACTCCAACAGCAGCTATAGAAGTCATGCTAAACCTAACACCACTACATACAGTGTGGTCTAATGAAAAGTATCCACCCCCCTTTTCTTGGTTCCCTCAGATTTAAAGAAGAAATGCTTGGACATATCAATTTTTGTTTAGAGGGGGACACATTTTTTCTAATTGCATCATTGACCCTTCAACCCTCGAGCAGTGGGGTGAACAATCCCTAGAAATTAGATAGGGAAAGTACTAAGCGTGGCACATTTTTGAAAAGGTAATTTTATAAGAAATTCAGTAATGACAATATTGTTGCGTCAAATCCCGATATTAGCGCCCTCTTGAGGGTGAAAATTATGCACCTAAAAGCAGAAATGCTTAGACATGTCGATTTTTGTTTGGAGCGCAGCACACATTTTTTCCTAATTTCAGCATCGACGTTTCGACCCTCGAGTATGTGGTGAGCAACCCCTAAAATTTAGATAAGGAAAGTACCAAGAGAGGCACATTTTTGAAAAGGCAATTTTATGGGTATTTACATTTCAATAGGAAATTAAATTTTAATTTTGTTAGTTTTTTAAGTTTACCTACTTTCTAAAAAAAGTAATAAACTGTAAAATTGATTTTTTTAAAGATTTATTAAAACGTTAATTTAACAGGCGTTGAAAATGTGACCCATTTGCTTCCATACAATAATACAAATTTTGTTCAAATCTATTGAGAACATTTTGTAGAACTTCAAGCGTTATTCTCTTGCACTCAGCTATTATCCGTTGGCGAAGATTTTCTATGGAATTAGGCTTCATAGCAAAACATTTATTTTTCAAGTGTCCCCAAAGAAAATAGTCCATAGGCGATAAATCCGGTGACCTTGCAGGCCATTCAATTGGGCCTCTCCTTCCAATCCACTGTCTAGGGTACCGGTTATTTAAAAATTCTTTTACAGCACCAACATAGTGCACAAGTGCTTATCTTGCTGGAAATGAAACTGATCAACATCATGATTTGAGTCATTTTCTAATAATTTTCTTATAAGAGGGTCAATTTCATTTTCAAGCATCTTTAGGTACAGTTCACCAGTTAAATTTCCAGGAATGAAAAGTGGTCCTACAAGGGTATGATACTCACGGAATAAATGTGGGTTACTGTCATCCTAGTAACGGCAAATATGCCTATTGAAAGCTCCATTCAAATGAAATATACACTCATCGGAAAAATAAATATTAAATAATAAGTCAGGATCTGCAATTAAACACTGGCTCATTTCTTCACAAAACTGCAGCCTTCTATCAGGATCATCCTCCTTGTACTAATCTAGTTTTGTACGGATGAAATTTGTGAGCTTTTAAAATCCTTATTATAGATGAACGAGAGACACCCGAGACTTCAGCTAATTGATGAGTACTTTGCGTATTCAACATGTCCCAAAACAGGGACTTCTACAGCTTCAATTTCTAACAATTCGCTGCATCTGAATTTTTTTATTACATACAGATCCAGTATCGGAAAACTTTTGGACTATTTTGGTAACATACAAATGATTCACATTTTTATTGGGATGATTGTTATTAAACAACCGAGCAGTAGGCCTAGCGTAACTATTATTTTGAAAATAAAGTTTCACAATTTCAATTCGTTCTGGAATGGAATAAACCATTTTTTACAATAAAATTAAAATAATTTTAAAAGCGACCAAATTGTAAAGAAACCACAATGAACGTTTGCCTAAATTATTTTATTTCTTTACTACTTGTTTTAATTTTAACAAAAAACGCAAATGATAAATCAGAAAGTTCGTTTTGATATAGTAGATCTAGTTTATTGGAATTTCAGTCGTAAGTTTTTATTAAAATAAGCAATTTAGTACCTACTTATTGTAATTGTTTATTTGACTCTTAATAACCAAAATTTAAGTGAATTTTTCAATATGAATAATACCAAAACTGCAGGGTTGAGGTTTCTAAAGCCGTTTTCGGATTATCTGTTCAAGTAAAATAAAATAAATAGGTATCATAAGAAAATAAATTGTTTGTCCCTTAAAATATTTAGCTCTTCTCCCTACTTTTCCCACTTTAAAATTTTAAGGGTGTGATTGTCTCCACCAAGAGGTTGAAGATGCGGGTTAAAATATATGCTTCAAATGTGTCCCTTTACAAACAAAAATCGACGTGTCCGAGCAATTGTGCATTAAATTTCAGGAACAGGAAAGGCTAGATGCCTAATTTTCGCCCTCAAGAGGGCGCTATAATCGAAATTTGACAGAACAATAATGGTATTACTGAATTTCTTTTCAAAAATGTGCCACACCTTTAGTACTTTCCCTATCTTAATTCTAGAGGTTGTTCACCCTACTGCTCGAGGTTTTAAGTGTCAATGATGCAATTAGGAAAAAAATATGTCCATTTCTTCTTTAAATCTGAGGGAACCAAGAGAATTGGGGTTGATACTTTTCTTTGGACCACACTGTATAGTCATGCAAGGCGAAGCCAGGTCTGTCACATACAGATTACACAAAGGTGCATCACTCGTAAGTTTGCATGGAAATGCTCCTCCCAAAGTATAGCTTTCAAAAGTAATATAAAACAAGTATACCAGACAGGGAAGCAGAATTCACCTGGTATACAGAAGGCTCCAAAACCCATGAAGGTTCAAGAGTAGGTATATATAGTAACAAACCAAAGTCAAGAATCTCACGGAGGTTAGGTAAACATGAGACAGTATTCCAGGCGGAAATAGCAGCAATGTCATCACTGCGTAAAAGAGGTTTTAAGACAGAAGGTAAAAGGAAAATCCATTGTGATATACTCAGACAGTCAAGCGACGTTAAAAGCACTCAGTTCTATGCAGATACACTCAAAGTTTGTGTGGGACTGTTTGGAAGCTATAACACAGCTGGGTAGTCAAAACAGACTAATCTTAGCCTGGTTACCAGGCCACAGAGGACATAAGGACAACGAAGAGGCTGATTTACTAACCTAAGGAGCCTCAAAGGCTCTTATTATTGGTCCAGAACCCTTCTGTGGTGTCACAAAGCCAACTGTCAGAACATTTACAAAGCAGTGGATGTTTAAAAAATCTCAAGAGTGGTGGAAAAATTCCCCAGGACATTATTTGGTAATATTCTTTCATAATGTTTCTGATATTGTTAATTTTTGATAATTTTATCGTTTGTTTTTTTGATAAATGTTATTTAAGGCATTTTTGAAAATACTATTCGATGCTTTTTGGAAAATGCCTTTTGATAATGTTCTTTCATAATTTTCTATTATAATGTTTCTTTCTTTTTAGAATTTCCATCGATAATGTCCCTTGATAATGTTCTTTAATGAATAATTCTATAATAATAATTCTTAAAAATGTTTTTTTAGTAATTAGAACTTAATTTAGTTTTGTCCTTGCTACTACTACTTAAGAGGTAACCGGACCTCTTACGACAGCAAAAATATTTCAAGGATTTTCTAATATAAAATTGTATTTATATGCATGCCACTGGGAATACTTCATGATATTATGTGTCTTGACAATATTTATAACTTTAAATTTGTGCAACGATAAGGTAGAACTCTACAGAGAAGTTTAAGAAAAAAAAGGAGAGGTATGAACCCCTTAGCTTATCTTTTTATATCTTAGTATAAAATGTATATTAATTTTTGATATTAATGGAAATACAAAAATAAATTAAATAATGGAATAATCCTTAATAAATTAATTTCTAATCCTAGTCATATTGCAAATCATGAGTAAGCTGAAATAGAAATTAATGTAACAAATATTATTGTATTAAAAAATAAAATTTTATATAATTTTAAAATTAAAAACTACCAGATATTTATTAAAACAAAAAGCTACAAATTTTTATAGATTTAATACAGAATGGCGCGTAAATGTTTTTTTTTAATTCGTTTTAAAAATTTTCAAAATAATTACTTTTCAAAGGTTTACAAAAAATTCAAGGTGTCTCCACCCCAAGTTTTGTTATTGGTATTTCCTGAAAATTTCACAAAAATCGGACTAAAAGGTTCAGAATGAATTATAAATTTTCGAGGTGTTCACTTTGCTCTTAAGATGAAAAACAAAGGTGATGAATTCATTGATCACCTGATCTTCAGCATTTTTATTTTCTTGCTTTGTTCTGATTGCTTTTTTTACTGTTTGTAAATAGATATGTAACTTGAAAGGAAAATAAAGACCTTCATTATTATTATTATTATTATTATTATTATAGACAGGCCAAAGAGTTCTTAAAAGGACCATTACCTAAACTCACCGAGCATCTACTAAGCGTTAATAGGAAAAATACTAGAGTACTAGCAGGTCTATTAGCAGGGCATTGTAGGCTTAACAAACATATACATGAATCGGACATATCTAAAGTAAATTAATTTAGGTGTATGGATGGCTATAAGTATTTAAAAGATAATAATCATTTATTTGGCGATACCATTTTAAACTATTATTAATACTTTTTGTAGGTATACCTATCGATTTATTTTGTAGTAAAATATCATTCTTATCTTTAGTAGAATTCATACCTGTTTATTTGTATCTTAGCTATATAAATATAGAGTTGGGATTTAGTTTCATGTTAACAGTTTTAAATATTATTTTGTTTCATATTTTTCTTTTATTAAGGAAGTAAGCTATCAATTATGTATTTTAATAATTTTCTTTGTTCCAATTGTAGGAAATGTAGGAGTTAGCTCTTACTTAAAAATGTTAAATTTTTTGATCAATTTACAGAATTGCCGAGGCATAAATACCAAAACCGCAGAATTTTACAGTATCTCATCAGAAAGTAATTATGATGTAATAGTAGCTATTGAAACCTGGTTAAAAGAGGGCGTTGCAGATGGTGAATTAGTGGATTTAAATGTATATAGTGTTTCGATCAGATAGAAATTGTCAAATTGCAGGTAAAACAAGGGGAGGGGGAATTTCAATGGCTATAAAAAATGAATATAAAGTGCTTAGTGTAGTAAAACATAGTTCTATATTCGATATTTTATTATTATAAGTAAGGAGAAAACATGACTTGAAATGTTTGTTTATAGCTGTATATATTCCACCTGACGCATCACTAAATGATTACAAGTCTTGTTTCAATAAACTACAAAATCATATAAAAAATACTGATAAAGTTTATATATTTGGCGATTTTAATTTATCAGAAATTAAAGGTACAAACAGTGATTTAAGCATTGTAAGTTTAAAAGGAAATTGTTTATTGGATTTTTTGAGTTTTAATTTGTTTATGCTTTTTAATAATGTAAAAAACTTTTTGGGTACAACATTGGATTTGGTCATAGGAGATAAAACAAATATAGATAATTGCATGGTTCAAGAAGAAAAGGTTCCACTAGTTAAAATAGATCAGTACCACCCATCTCTAGAATTGTTATTGTTAGTACCATTTAATGTTCCATCAAGACGTGTCAGATACTCATTAAAATTTAATATTTCTAAAACTCCTCTGCAATCTCCGTTAACTCATATCATAAGACTTGCTAATAATTTCAGTTCAATAAGCAATATAGATTGGATAATTGGTCATATCCAATTTAAAATGGTTGTATATGACTATCTAAACATTTTAAGTTTTTAATTATAGATATATATCTATCAGTTCAGCACTTTTTTCTGTATTTTTCGGTTTTGGTATTTATCTGTCTCCGTAAATGTACATTGTACTTATTATAATTTGAGCATCATGTTATAAAATTACATATATTAGGCTGTTAAGTTAAGAAAACTACTCATGTAAAAAGGCCAATAGGCCTGTTTGAGTTTTGGTAAATAAATGTATAATATCGGTCTGACAGAAGAGACCTTGTGCCGATTCTGTCAGGAAGATTAGGAAACTGTAGAACACTTGGAGAAGAAAAACCAAGGGCAACTAGCTATACCGGAGATATACTTATCAGTTTATGGAGTCTACTACAAAAGACCGAATTAGACAAGGTACTCTAAACAACGATTAAAGGATATCCACAACAGATCTAAAAAGGTCGAGGAGGGGGATGCCACATGACCCACAGTCCTAATTAAATCTAAATCTACTTAGATATTATTCTGCAACTCCAAACACATAAAGAACGTAGACTTAAGAGGTGACCTGATAGAATCGTAGAAAATATGGACTAGTGGGAATTACTTTTTCACAAATATTTTTGATGTTTATCAAAATAGAACACCTAGAAGACACTCCAAGAAAAATGCAATAAGCTCCAAAGAAGAAATTATGTAAGCAACCGGTGGAAAACACTTTGAACAACCTCTCATCGAAATCAATTAATCAGTTTAAGGATTGGTTAGATGAAGAATTGAAAAAAGCTTCACCCATTCTAGCCCATCCAATACACCACCACATAACTTTTGTGATAAACAAAGATATAAGTTCATGTAATTCGACAATTGTTCTGTTTATGATGTGCCGATATGTATATTGAACATGACTAAAAATCATATTTTGACACATGTGTAAAATAATTGCAAAACATGGTTGGTCTGGTGTTTAGTAATTTAATAATATACCATTTTTTTTAATTCAACCTAAAATAATCTGTAACTTTAGATTTTTGGCGGTCCGCTATTAGACTATAATTTTTTTATTCAAAAAGCATGTGTAGCATAACCTTTTCACTTATTACTGGAATTATTATTCATTATTATGGAGTTCTTTATAAAAGGATCACATTTTTTGCAACTTGTACTGGTTTTCTAAATGCAGTTTTAAACATTTGATTTGAACAATCTGTTGTAGCTTTAGAATGTCTGCTGACAAATATTACTTACATAATCTGTGAATTTGAGATAATTATCGTTTATAAGCCCCAAATTCGAAGGGTTAAAAATTAAGGTTAAATCATTAAACTAATAATACAGTGCTTATACAAACTAAGTCACTAAAAATAGTTTATTGGGACATACTTATACTGGTATTTATCTCACCAGTTCCATCAGAATGCTTTGTAAAATAATGTTAGTCTTTTTAATAAAAGTAAAATCAACAAACTAAACACTTACTATAAAAAAAAACTATACGAAAAAGATGCTTTATCTTTTGTAACGCTCTCTACTAAGTCTTTCCATGTCGATCCATTCTGGATCATTGGGGTCCTCTTCTCCATCTCCGATTGCAGATTCTGTCGACTCCGTGTCAGGGGAATCGAGCTTCTGATCTATATAGGAATCATAGACGTCTCTGTCATATTCATTCGAGTCCTGGGATCTAATATTCGTTTGAAATTGGTGGTCTTCAGGCATATGCTTGAGCATCTTCTCATAAGTTTCGTCGTTGATTGGAAATAATCGTTTGTCGTATGGTAGTACCTAAACCATAAATTAAGTGTAATTAGTTTATTACGATTTGTTAAAGTGGTTAAAAATTGAAGTTTAACTAAACAATATGACAAAGTGCTATTGGTTTTCAAAATGATGTCAACAAAAATAGATTATAATGATGATTTACTGAGTGTATTTTGTATGAAAATTCCAAAGTAAAAAATTAACAGGTAGGTTCTAAAACGTATTATTTATTAACTATTTAATAATCATTAAAATATTATTTAATTATTTCAAATTAATTCTGATGCCTTGGTAGGATTCCCCACTCGACCATTCACTGTTGGGTTCTAATTAACAGTGCTGTTGCTAAAGTGGCGCTGGGAAACAGTAACAAAGCCTACACAGAACACGAGGCGAAATAACCCTGGTAGTTGAAGCCGATGACACACAAAAAAAAAATTAAATCAAACGATGACTGAAGTCTAGAGTACCACTTGATCTAAATACTTCTAAATTTATCATTTTACATCAATTTAAGAGACAGCTTTGTCGATTGCCGAGCGGAAAACTTGACAGCTTTGTCGCACGTCTAATTTAAATTATTTGTACCTAGTTTGATGTTTTTTCTTTTATTAGCCAAGTTAACATTGACTTTGAATATCCTCCTTTTTTCATGAATAATGTAGATGTAGGCAACACATTATACACTACTTATGACAAATTTTCAGTTTTTTTATCTATTTCTTGAAATAATGTGGTCGTAGAAAAAATCTTGTATGCAATTCGAGCGAAAAGTTCGTTGCCGCTTTTGTCTCAAGCGGCAAATATCACTTTTCGATATTAATACACAAATAGCTATTAAACATACCGAAAATAACAAGTATTTATTTTTTGTTAACAAATTTGTATTAGTGGTGTTAAAAAAAATAACACTATTTTGGATTTGAATATAATGTGTCGCTAAATGTCTTCACCAAGAAAACACGAAATTACATATTTCTTTAATCTACGTAAAAAAGTGCAAATTAAAATTAAATAATTTTTACTGAAAACTATTAGGTACAGGATTATTAATTATAAATTACCCATCCTTTATACCAAAATTATTATTTATATTTACTGAATTTTGTTAAAATACCATCAAAAATACAGTGTCTACATCAGTGGCGTGTACATTTCATGGGGTATAACAAATAAGATTTTTAAAAGGGATAGTCTATATATTTTATTCAATTTTAGGAATGATCTTTTTTGATTAATTAAATGTCGAGTATCTTAGTTTATATAAATATTTAACACTTCTTTTCTCACTGTAAACTATTTTGATTATTTTATTAAAGTAATGTCAATTTTATCAAACATAAATAGTTTTGATTTTCATAGCTTTTACTTAAATAATGTTGACGTTTCCATAGTCACAGTAAGTTGCTTAATCAAGATATTCGACGTTTAATTACTCGAGAAGGGTAGTTATATATAACGGAACCGTTATTTCTAAATATCTATACAATTAAAACAATTTTAAACTTCACACACTATTTTATTGATCATATACAGGGTGTTATTGAAATACACGTACATATTAAAACTGGGTATTCCGCAGATCCCCACTGAATGTAGAAAAATATTATTTTTTAAAAATACCCCTTATTAAGGGAGTTATTAATTTTTGAAAATTAATTCTAAAACAAACGTACTTCACTGATATGTTGAGGATGACCTATATAAATTAGGTTTATTTACCTATTTTAACATCAACAGTAATTAATATGCAAGTTTTTGTCAGATGATAAGAAAACTAGTCTTGTAAGAAATAACCATGTTGCCAAGATTTTCGAATTAATTTCTATTTCCGAAGACTGGTTTTTACTACCCTCGTTATCAAAAAACTAGAATATTTGATAAATGATTGTTTTTAAACTATACATTTTTGAAACTATAGATTATTAAAATTTTAGTTGATTTACGAATCTGGCTAACACGAGCGCGTCATTTCCAAGTTGGTAAAAAGTGTTGTTACGATTACTTTTAAATATTTTTTTACTATGCCACTATTTACGAATATTGAACTAACGGATATAGTGCTGGTTTATGGGGCAGCTGGAGAAAATTCTCGGCAAGCACAAATCCTGTATCGCGAACGGTTTCCAAATCGGAGAATTCCGGACTGTCGTACGTTTATTTCAACTGTTCAGCATCTAAGAGACCATGGAAAATTTGAGAGTGTCAATGCAGATCAAGGAAGAACAAGAACACAAAGAACATTGGCGGCCGAAGAAGAAATATTGGAAGCTGTTGAAAACCGGCCTCAATTAAGTTGTAGAAGACTAGGTCTTGAAATTGGAGTGTCCTCATTTGTTGTGTGGCGGACACTTAAAGAACAAGGTTTACATCCTTATTACATCCAAAAAGTCCAGGCCTTATATCCAGGTGATGAAGAAAAGAGAGTGGAGTTTTGTGAATGGATGATTCAAAAATGTGTTGATATTCCTGATTTTCTAAAAATATTATTGTATACTGACGAGGCTTCATTCACTCGTGATGGCGTGTTCAATATGCACAATACGCATATTTGGAGTGATGAAAATCCTCACGCCATTAGGGAAACTGGGCATCAAAGAAAATTTTCAATAAATGTTTGGGCTGGCATAATAGATCAGTATTTAATCGGGCCTTATGTTCTCCCGAACAGATTAAATGGGCCAGGATATCTCCACTTTTTAGAAGATATTTTGCCAGTACTCCTAGAAGAGATACCGTTACAATTAAGGCAACGGATGTGGTACCTACTAGATGGCGCTCCTCCTCATTTTGATTTAAACGTACGGCAGTTTTTGAACATTAGATTTCCTCAAAAGTGGATAGGCAGAAATGGACCTACTAAGTGGCCTCCGAGATCTCCGGACTTAAATCCATGCGATTTATTTTTGTGGGGTCACATGAAACAACTGGTTTATAATGAACCTATTAATAGTGTTGAACAATTAACCAATAAAGTTAATGCGGTAGCCGAGGAACTAGGACAAAATCCAAGACTAATTTCTAATGTTCAAAGTTCTTTGGAAAGACGATTGCAAGTGTGTGTAAATAATAATGGACGGCATTTTGAACAATTACTGTAATAAACTTTATTTTGAATTAATTGGTTTTGCTACGGCAACAGTGCAATTTCTATGGGTAAGATCAATTTCGATTTATTTTACTTCTTTAAATATGGAAACTAGTAGGTCGGAAAAGGGGACTCTTCCCCAATATTTAAATTTTAGAATTTGAAGTTAAAATTGGTGCCAATCGTTTTTGGTCATTACATATTATTCCCCATTTTAATATGTACGTGTATTTCAATAACACCCTGTATATGTAAGTTAGTATATATTTACATCCAATGTACATTTTCATAAAAATAGGTCAAGCCGTTTTAGAATAAGGGCAAAAAATCACTTTTAAAATTTATTTTTAACACCCTATATAAGCATTTTACTATCCATTTTTTATACAGCCAAGTTAGCTTAAATCAACTATTTTTTGACCCCAGAAACTGTAGCTAAATTTAGTGTACATATTTTTGTTACACCCTGTATAAAATGAAAAACTTGGTATACTAGACAAACGACAAACAAGTCCCGCGTGGATTTAATAAAATATGCCTTAAATTAACTTTAATTTCCTATTCAGTTAAGAATAATTCCAGAACGCGATCGGCTCATAAAAATTCAAAGTTGGCCTTTTCCTGGAGGGGGCCTGGCGACGTCTTAGGGGAGGCTGGCTCCCTAGGCCCACTGTAGTTACTCGCCTTATTGTGAATATATTGTGTTTATTTTTTGTAGTTATTAGCTTATTTTACTGTAAACAGGCGCATTGTACAGTGTGAAATAATTTTGAAGATATTTAAGGCAAGTAAAATTTATTATTTGAAAGTGAACATGAATTAAATTAAATTTATGAACAAGGGCGGCTCTAGGGGGCCATTGTCGGACTAGTGAAATATAACTTTAAAAAATTATCTGATACACCATGTTTAATTTTTGGGCAAAAACTTGTCAAGTATTTTCTTGTTATATTTCCATCTTGTTCAAAAAAATTGTAACAATTCGTTGAAATTATTTTTTGAATTCTTTGATATGGTTTAAATTAATAATAATAATAATAATAAATGCTTTTATTGACATTATGCATACATTCGTTTTCTGTAAAATTATCTAGAACAGAAGTAAAAGTTGGAAATGCTTTTGCCAGTTCTCCCACTTTATACACATAAATTGACAGGTTGGAAGCGGATCTCACCGAAGTGGACGTGATACATTGGCGTACAAAATTATTTTATAGATGTGAATAACAATTTCGAGTAAATAGTTTAATAAATTGTGAATAGCTGTTGAAATTTTGTAAAATTATAATTTGAATATTATAATACATGTTTAATAATTATTTATAATCCATAAATACATGCGATTGTCCGGTTCCGCCGATAACAATTTAAAATTACTTATTCTATGAAACGATACTGGCAGGTAAACATTACTGTGAAATTCTCGGAGCCGCCCGTCGTGGTTTGACGTTTACCCCCTCTCTACCTACCAAAAGACTTTTCAACTTTTACTTTCTCTATACCTATAGCTTCACAGTTTAGACCGTGATTGTGATTACTATTAACAGCTGTTCGAAGACTCTGGAGAAAAATAAAGTAGATCATTAGTTAAGAGTTAAGTTAAGAGAACGTAACCCACCATGCAATATGTTCAAAATAGTTCCGTCTTTGTTAAGACAATGCTGTCACATTTGTACATAGTCAGGAACAACTAAGAAATAATAAATTCTACACTCAATAGAAAGCCTCCGAAAATTATCATTAGCGTTACATATCATGCGAGTATTGGATTTAGCTGGAAAAAGTACGTTAATTCTGAGACAATATCAAAGAATTCAAAAAATAATTTCAACGAATTGTTGCAATTTTTTTGAACAAGATGGAAATATAACAAGAAAATACTTGACAATTTTTTTTTCTAAAAATTAAACATGGTGTTCAGATAATTTTTTAAAGTTATATTACAATATCCTTCTCGACAAGCATCAACTAGTTTAGTTATGAATAAGATGGGGTTATGTCTAATGAAAAAACATAATAATATTTGCGTCTTCGGATATTTGGCTCACTAATAATATTTGCATCTTCGGATATCTGGCTTAATAATAATATTAATACATTGTTTGTTTATAGGTTACATATTATTTATATTTCCTTAAACAAATAACGTTAGAATGACATAAATCCTGAATGATTAAATAAAATAAAAACATATTTATGAGCTCAGGTATAAGCGTATACATTGTGACAGGCTTGTCATCACAAAGTCGATATAAAAAAACTGATCATAGTAACTTCGCATAACTTCTATAGGGGACTAACAAACTCAAATCAAAGACAATAAGAAAAAATTAGAGAAATTAACGGAGGAAATATTAAATTACAGGGTGATTCGCAGAAAAAAATCAATTTTCGTAATGTTCTACCTTATATACCCTTTGAATCAACCTGTATTTAATTCATAAATTATATATTTTTGAAAATGGTTTAATGTCGACTACTGACTTGATTACAAAATATATAAAATTGTATTAAGAATAACTTGCAGAGTCGATCAACTTTTTGACTCACCCTGTATAAAATATTTTCATACCTTCTTATAATAAGTCCAACTAAAGTTAATTCAGACCATATATTAATATTTTCATATTCCCACTGTAAAGTAGAATACACAGCATCAACATTTTTTTTGGTGATTTTTGAATCACCCTGTATCAAATAATACTTTTTCTACACAAAGCAATATTATTTGATGTTATCAGAATACTATTACAGCAAAAAATCCTTAATATATTGAGAAAATTACATTTTAATACGTTTTAAAAAATGGCCATTTTTCAACTTCATCACCCTATATGTTGAAAATTGGCCATAGGATTGAGTTGTGCCCATGGACACTATTGTTCAGGAAGTCGATACCTTTAACATACCAAAAACTCAGGCATATTAACCGGAACCCATTTCTCCATAATCCGGCTGCCTGGTCCTTTCATTGCAATGACTATACTTTAAATTACTTGTTCGTCGGATATGTCCAAAAATTATTTTGTGAATGTTCTAAAAATCTACGATAGCGAGAGAAATGAACTGTATCAAAATCTTATTAATTGTGATATATGCTCCCACCTTTAAAAAGGGGAGATAGAAATACCTACAATTGTTTAGGTTAGGTTTTTATCGAAATATAATATTAGCCTTTAGGTTTATTTATTGTACTTTCTGTGTATATATTTTACTGTATTTTTACAGTAAATACTGGTTGAATAACTAAGGTCCAAGCCAATAAATAAAAACTTATACACTAGTAGTTTTATTATAATGAAAAATAATAGCCTTTTAAGATATCAATAATTTGTGGTTTTGTATTTTGTGGTTTTACTTACCTCAACAATATCAGGGGTAGTTGCTCGAGACTCTTCCTTAATCTCCCGTTCCTTTCCACCCATTCCAAATTTCGATTGAGACATGGTCCTTCGTCTCATTACGGCGATCGACGGCAGCTGACTTAGCAACTGACTTTCGTCCACTAAGCCCGCCGAGAGAGGCGTGGCAGGAGGCGACGTCATCGGCGAATCATGATGGTCAGGATTATGTGGAGACATCGGATCGGGGGTGTTGCCGCCGCTCGATTCGGCCCTGCTGTCGGTTCGCCGGTGAGAACGTGACCGGCCGTGTCCGAGCGGAAATTTCAAGTAGCTCAAGAAGCGTTTCTTTTCATCATATTCGCAACGGTCGTGACGCGAAATCACAGCGTCCTCGGAAACATCTTCCACCTAAGAAAAAGTAAAGTTTGTCACATTTTGGCACACTGTTTTTTATTTTATTATGTAATTTGATGATTTGTAGTGATGCGACTTTGGATTAGTAATTACCATCTGTGAAAATACTTAAATATAAATAAACTAAAATTGGAATAGTGTTTAGCGATGTTAAAAACATAAATTTGAGCATTAATAATACACATTGAAGTTTTTTCTAAGGTCAAATGTCATTACATTAAAATGAATTACAACATTTATAAAAAAAATATCTAAAAAATATTATTTAATTGAATTTTTCAGAATCTATCAACTGAGACCTAAATCAATGTATGTTACAGTGTTTACTTGGTTAGTTTATAGACTAGCTGGATAGTATACAAACTATCCAAACGGTTGGCTGTTTTGATGGACAATTATGTTTCTACTAAAATAGTTAGGAATATTGGTTTGTATATTATCTAGCTAGTTTACAAACTATACAAGATTTGTCGCTAAAGTGTAAACCACAAGAAAAGTACACAAATTAACCGTTGTTTTTGACTAGTTTACAAACTATCCAATGTATTTGGATAAATTATGCACCTAATATTTGTAGTAACACTTTATAACCAACTCGTCAGTTAGTATGTAAACTGACAAATTTTTTTTGGATAATTTAGTTTAGGATAGTCAAAAATAAAGTTTATTTATAGGTACAACATATCATTACTATTACTATTAAAAAATAAGTAAAATAAGTAAAAGTGACATAAAAATACTAAGTTCACTTTAATCACTTCCAAAAGTAGGTTTTCAAATTATTATTGCTGTTGATTCATTTTCAATAGGTATCTACTCTTAAACAAACTTTGCAAGACACCCCAGTAAACAGCACAACACTTACCATAAACATAACCTCACTTTTCTAATAAATTAACCAAAGAAGATTGGTCAGTTTGCATACTAACCGAGGAGTTGGTTATTATGTATTACTACGAATACCTTATCCAAATACTATGGATAGTTTGTAAACTAGCCAAAAACACTAGTTAATTTATGTATTTTTCTTGTAATTTGTACATTGGCTATAAATCTTGTACAGTTTGTAAACTAGCTGGATGGTATATAAAACAATCAATGTTCATAGCCATTTTAGTAGAAATAATATTTTCCATCAAAATAGCCAGACATTTGGATAGTTTGTATACTATCCAGCTAGTCTATAAACTAGCCAAGTAATCACTTTAACCGTAACATATACAGTGTGTCTACTTAAGTTGGAACCATATGGAAAACATTTTTATTATTGATTTTAGGAAAAAAAGTTATTCTTGATAAAAAGTCCTGCATGACCCAAAACCTAAAATACAGTCATCACATATCAAATTTTTCAAGCCGTATACGAGGTTTGTCAAAAAATATGAATTTTGCTCAAGAGTAAAGTACGTTTATTTTTGACAAAATCGAAAATGTTCATTAAGAAAAGTTGATTAGAATTGAATAGTACATTCAAATATGTAATTACACCGATCTATCTGAAAAAACAGATTTTCTTATTTTTTATAAACTCTACACTCTACACATTGATTGTAAATATCTGAAAACATTATAAATTACGTTAGCTACTATAAACATGATACGCTTTCCTTTTGTTGATGTTTGTGAAGAATTTAGCAAATTTCTTAATGAAAATTTTCGATTTTGTAAAAAAATAAACGTACTTTACTCTTGAGCAAAATTCATATTTTTTGACAAACCTCGTATACGGCTTGAAAAATTTAATATCTGATGACTGTATTTTAAGTCTTGGGTCATGCAGGACTTTTTATCAAGAATAACTTTTTTTCCTAAAATCAATAATAAAAATGTTTTCCATATGGTTCCAACTTAAGTAGACACACTGTATAATATCATAATAAAATTTAACCACATTTTGATTATTGTGCATCTATTTGTAACAGTCAAAAAAAGGAGGAGGTTCTCAATTCGTCAGAATGTTTTATTTGTAATGTTCAGCGTTAATACTTTACCAGGTTGTCCGATTTCTATGATTCTTTTTTGTTTGGTCAGTACCTCAGTGATGGTCGCATTAAATTTGGGATCCATGAAAAAATCATCAAACTTATACATTTGAACATTTTTTTACAAGAAAATGGTTGCAGTTGACGATCAAGCAAAATATTTTTTTTTGGAATACCTTGTGCCTTGTCAACATTAAAGATGAAACGATTAATGCTCATTTTTTACTGTTTTCATGCAAGAAATGTTCAATAAAATAAAATATAAAAATAATTTTAAAAAACAGACTCCAAAATCGTGCAGATGTGCAAATTAAAGAGTTTGCTAATGTTCTAATAGGTCTAACCTTCAAGTCTTAACCAAATTTATGGGAACACCCCTGTGGTATTCTATTTCTAACAAGAAATCAATCCAAAAAATCGAACAAGGTAGTAAATAATTATCACTGAAAATACATAAAAAAATGAAGAATTTGATGATTTTCTCATGGATCCCATCATCAGATCTGAACCAAATTGATATGGGATCATCCATGAGGCACCCTCATTTTAACAACAAAATCATAGAATCATAGAAATCGGACAACGTGTTAAAGAATTATAGCTGAACATACATAATTATATATTCCGACGAATTAAGAACCTCTTCTTTTTTTGAAGTCAATTAATAAAAAAAATTACAATAATAATAAACGTTCTAAAACTAATTGCACATTTTTTAAGCACAGTCGTAATAAAAATGAATATCGAGAGGATATTAACTTTTGTAATACATTATTAGAATATTCTAAATAGATAAAATTTCTTGGCATAATAATTGATGAGCATCTAACTTGGGTGGAACATCCACATTCACTTTGTGGAAGGCTCAGCAGAGCTTGCTTTGCATTGAAACAAGTTTAAAAAGTCATAGATCATTCTTATCTTATATCAGTGTCTATTATATTCCTCAATGTGCTATGAAATTATTTTTTGGGGAGATTCACACTGTCAAGAAGTTTTTGTAATACAAAAAAGAGCAATTCGAATATTGGATAATCTAAAGCTTACAGAATCATGTAGAGATCACCTTAAAAATCTAAATTTGTTGACAGTATATACTAGTTATGCATATGAGTGTATTATGTTTGTGTAAAAAAATAAAAGTATATTCAACGATTATATAGCAGACCACCTTCACAACATAAGGTTTAGAAATAATTTTTGTCTACCGATGCACAGAACTACCCTACTGGAAAAGGGATGTTGTTACAAATGTTTGCAATTTTATAATATGCTTCCATCTTTCAAAAATGTTGATTTCTATTAAGCCTTACAGCTAAGATCAGCTATACTCAACCTTTTTTTCTTTTGGGCCACATAAATCTGTTTGTTATGCTACACGGGACGCAATATTTTTGGGTGATAACTAGGGCACCTTTTTGAAATGTAAACAAAGGATAACGGGTGACGGTAGGGATCCGGTTTAAATATAAAAATAATTTGTCCTCATGTTGTTTTAGTAAGCTTTGAAAAGTAGCAAGGACAATTTGTTTCAAAAATGGACTGTAGGTCAATCATTTAAAATTGGGATCTCTAATACATAAAACAAAACATAAATGCAAAACAATAAAAATATTACCATATTTATCGCTTAATGTTAATGTTTTCGTGCATTTCTCTCAAAATTTTAAAAACAAAAAGCCACAGTTTTAAAAAGCACCTTCCTAATAATAGTGTTTGGGGCCGCACAAAAAAGCTTGGAGGGCCGTAGGTTGAGCATGGCTGGCTTAGATGATGTAAACGAAGTGATTGTAAGTAATTATTATTTGTAAATACTTTGTGAAATCAACAGAAATCTATACTAGTTTTCAATGGTAATATGGGTTTTGCTGGGTTTCCCCATATTTCTTAGCAAATTCACCACTATATTCATTTTTAAGTCACCCCAGTGTACACTATGTAGGTGTAGGTCACCAAACTAGTACAGATAGATTATCCTGGCTTCCAACTTATACCATACAATTTTATATGTATTTTTTTTCTGTATAATATTGTTCCTGGTATTAATAAATATTATTATTATTCTTGATTGAGTTAATATACCAAACATGCCATCCACTGAAGTACATAGAGATGTTCAAGTTTGTTTAAAAAATGTAATTTTCAATTGTTTTTGGATTTGAAACCAATTAGGCATTTTAAACAAAATGGCTGCCCGTAGAAAATGACAGGCACATGATAGTTTATAATATGTCAACACTGTGGGGCTGCTGATTTGACGGGATCAATGATATAGATAGTTATATGATTTATCATCCATGATTTTAAAAATAAACATAAGCTTATGCCTTGAAGTAAAAATGTAGGTAACTATTGTTTTTTATTATTCACAGGCTGGAAATTGGTTTTAAAACATATTCTAAACCGATTCAAATTAATGAACACTTTCCAGGCAATATGGCCACTCGCAAACCACCCGCTTTGAGCAATCTAAATGACTATGTACCATTGACCATGTCAAGACAACGGGCCCACAGGGTTGCCATATCTAAACTGTCAGTTCCCACTGGCAGCATTTTGACAGGTCGTTGGAATGCCTTATTTATTAATTCATGCCTTAAGTACCTACAAATTATAGGTTATTGTAATCATTTCAACAAGGATAATCCAAAAAGTATAATAATATGAATCGTTGGTTTATGTATAATAATAAAGTTGAGTACCTACTAATTTGAAATTGACAATTTTTTCGGTTTAATCTTGAAAAATCTGTATATGAATTAAAAATTAAAGAAGTCGGCACAATAAATCAATTGTTTTTATAGCCGGGGAAAGATTGGCAATATTCAAATTCCTACATTTCATCTTTTGATATTGCTACTTAGGTTTAAGTGAATAATTGATTAAATAATTATAAATATTGTTATTGCATATTTGATAAGAAAATTGTTGATTAATTATTTTTATTTTAAATTATATAATATGATACTTACTTCACTATCTGAGTCATGGTCTTTTACGGCGCCATTATTTTTGGTTTCGAATTCATTACCGTAATCAGGATCGATAACTCTCCACCTAAAATAGTACACCAAATATTAATCAAAGACAGCAAATGTTCTACAATTATTTTACTTGTAAATATATTTTTTTCAAATTTATATGTATGCGTCATTTCATTTTATGCCATTACACATCGCAGAAATGCTATTTTTACTGTTGTGTAAACTTTCTCAAAACATAAGCAATCAAAAATGTATATTTCATTTAAATGAACAAATAGACTTACTTAGGAGTTAAAATTTCTTTGTACTGTAATTTCTCTACCCTAGTAGCAGCGGCCACACTGTACGGTATAACAATGTTGTCAATATCGTATGACTGGAAACGACTGCTTCTCTTGTTGTATCCAGAAATGGAGTGCATGTGTAACAAAGGTGACGAACTAGGTGAATCAAGTGAACGAGGACCACCAGGGTTGCTGTTGTTACCTATAAATAAAAATAACATAGGTATCATAAACGCAGAAAACATTTGATAGTGACATATTATCTAAGGATAGTGACATTATCTAAGGATAGTGACATTATCTAAGGATAATGACAGCAAATTATAGACTGATGAGTACCCAATAAAATAAATACAATACAATGTTTTTAGGAAACTAGTCTCAAAAAATAATTTTTACTGGGTTATTAACTCTTTAAACTATAACTTATTTTGGCTCTATTTACTTTATGGCCGCTTTTTATAAACACAAGTTCCGTTCATCATACTTATCATTAGTAATTCTGTATAAATCTTCGTTACTTAACAATTGGTTTTATTCGATCAATAAAAATTTGAAATTATTCTTGAATTTAAGTCTCTTTTCAGGAACAAAAATGTAAAAAAATGTTGAATCTACTTGACGAGACAGTCGCCTAAAATATGTTGTAAGCAACTTGGCCACATTATATTTTTTGGCCTCAGAAGTTGCCAAAAAAGATCAACTTAACGGCATTGGTATAGAAATTTAATTTTTTCATTTCTGTAAAGGACTGAAATGTCTAATAAACCAATTTGACTTACAAACGATGACATCAAGGTAAAACCTAGGAATTTTATTTATTATAGCGAGTGTAAATGAAATATGAGTCATTACATACAAAATCGTCTGAAAATAAAAAAAAATTGTTGCCAATCCATTTTAAATTTTGGTGTAACTTTGAGGAACTATTCCTTAGGGTCCCAAAGAAGAAAATTTACACGAGTTTGATTTTTACAAGCACTCCTTTCCACCTATTTAAATAAAGACTTTAAAAAATCGATATTTTTAAGTCTTATCGGCTTTTCCTCTGAAATTTTTCTTTTTGAAGATAACTACATTATTAAAGCGGAATTCTGAGGGGGAAAGATAGTAGTTTAAGTGTAAGCATCGATAATTTGCTCAGTCAATATCTCTGATCAACGGCAGCGTGCTGAAAATGAGTGTTTTTTGATCATTTTTCGTGAATTTCAATCGACTCTAGCGTCTTAACTGCTTAGACTTAGCAGCTTATGTTCCTCAGAAATTAAGTGTATAATATCATAGATAAAATACAGCCACAAGTCAACCTGAGCAGCCCACTCTTTGCAGAAAAAAACTTTGCTTGAAGTTATGAAATTTTAAAAAATTGCATTATTCAGGTTATATAATGAACGTGTTGACTGCCAGATAAAAAGCTGAAAGTCTCAGAATCTACTGTTCTTATCTTTAACTTTAAATGACCGTTTTGTTATTTTTATGTTTAGTGCATGTGCGAGTCGTTTTTTTACAGAGGTATTTACTGAACAAATTATCGATGCTTACACTTAAACTCCTATCTTTCCCCCTCAGAATTCTGCTTTAATAATGTCGTTATCTTCAAAAAGAAAAATTTCAGAGGAAAAGTCAATAAGGCTTAAAAATATCGATTTTTTAAAAAGTCTTTATTTAAATAGGCGGAAACGAGTGCTTATAAAAATCAAACTCAAGGAATAGTTCCTCGAAGTTACACCAAAATCTAAGATTGGTCAGCTTTGCCAACTAGACGATTTTAAATGAAATGACTCATATGTGTAAATATTAAAACTGGGTAAACTGTAAGGTATAACAAACTCAAAAAAATTATTTTTTAAATTTGCTTTATTAACTGAAATATTAATTTTTGAACACAATGGGTTCAGAATGATGTATGTATTGTATTTGAAAATGTTCTGATGCTAATTCAATGTCTCGGTAATTTATATATTTCCGACATATTTACTACCTGTGTTGTTGGGAGAGATATTTGTTGTCTATTAAAATATTTTCTAATAGTAACTTAACACATAGTTTTAGTATATGATACTTCTGGTTGGAATCTACACTCTGCAGGGGATGCGACAAGAAGATGAGGCTTTCGAGCATATCCTCTACGATTGCCCGACGCGACACTTTCATTTATTAGAATATTTGTGTGTGGCGAGTTTTGGATAACATCGGCCGATATAAGAGGGGCACTTCTCGGTGAGATTGTCAACTACATTAATACTGTAGGCTGGTTAACGAATGATCAATTTAGGAGAATGCTCAATGGGTCTAGCAAGGCCTAAGCTCCGTGGGGCTACCACTCCTCCACATGTTAGAGATAATAGTCAACAAAAATAAATAATAATTAAAATAATAATAATGATTGCCCAGTTTTTAATTCTGGAAATATTGTTTTGGGTGTCAAACAGACGTCGCAATTTTAAAGTCAATTTAAAATTAAAGAAACTATATTTATAACTATTATTGATCCAAACATAAACTAACCTATAGACTCCACTTCCTCATCGGCTGCAGAATCCGTGGGAGGATTCGTTGATTGCGGCAAATCTCCACCCATATGAGTTTTACGATGGAAATTAGATGGCCTACCTGGTTTTCGCCCTCTGATTTTATTCCGTATTTCTGCAAAATACGTTCGTTCAGTTTAACAGTAATTGAAGAATTTAAATCTCGCTTGTTTTCTAGTGGATTCACCAAATGAAAAGTTATGAAATTAAAATGAAGGCAGTTAATTCGAAACCTACAGATTTAAAATTAAATTAAAATGGCAGAAATAGCTAAAGCCGGTGGGTTAGCCATATTTCGTTCTCTGCATCGTGTCTAACGTTGGCACATCACGCGGCTTTTGTTATTTCTGGCAATTCGTATGTACAAAGAAGTATACTAATTTCATTTTTATTTTACCATTTCATAAAAATTTAGAGAAATAAACTTAAAAAAAAAAACTGAAAAATTTTGGGACACCTTTTATGGCGGACAAGTAACCTATATTGTGTCCACTTGTGTAATTAATCACCTTCCAAAAATGATTTTTCTTACTCAAAAATATCAGAAATACGATTCATCGGATCTTTTCACATGGCACCAGTTATAAATACTTTATGTGTTATCCATAGATAGGGTCCAATTACAATAAGAAGAACACAACTACGTCATCATTTGGTAAAGTAATTTATTGGCTATCGCCGTCTACTGGGTGTTTATTATAGGAATATCGGAAATATTTTTTTATACCTAACAACTTACTTATTCTTTATTTATTGCTAGTTGTAGATAATGTGTATTCGAAATTCGAAGTAATGGTTATGACGTAGCGGTGTTCTTTTTATTGTAATTGGTTTCTTCGACTTTCTACCGGCTTTGAAAATATTATCTCTTTTAAGTGTACAATCAAATAACCATGGTCGTAAAAAAGTGATTACTTATCACATAAATTAAATGGCAGAGCTGAAAAGATTTGATAAGTTGCAGATATTATATAAATATCTTATAAACATTTTCGTCCATTTATACCTGAAATGTTGTAGTGTAGTAGATTGTGTGTGTAGGTTTAGTTTAATATAAAATAAATATTCAATTAAACTATTTTATCCTTACAATTAACAATATTTACATATACATTGAGTCCGTCTCTGTTAGGAGTTAATCGTGAATGAGCCAAAAAAAAAAGAACCATTCTGGCCTTTTGACATAAGCGTAAAAAAAATGTTGAATTTAGTTAAGTTTCTTTGGTTAATTTTTTTGTTATGATAGGCTTATACAATTATTAAAGAGAATATTTTCAAAGCATAGGTATATAGGGTGTAATAAAAAGATATACAGTAAATTTAACCACCGTTTTTGGGGTCAAAAATAAGTTGATGCTAATTTGCCTACATACTAAATGGATAAAGTTACAGGGTGTTAAAGTAGAAATTTCATCATTACAATCAGTTCTAAAATTTCTAATTTAATGCCTTGTAATTTTTGCACTATCCATTTTTTATATAAGCAAGTTAGCTTAAATCAACGTATTTTCCAATCCAGAAATTGTGGTGGTTAAATTTACCGTACATCTTTTTATTACAGCCTGTATAAAGTCAAACCCAAACCTTATATCTATGGACATAATATAGACATATTAATTTGATTAATTAAATAAATTATTAAATGTTTATAAAAATTATACTAATTAATTATATGGAAGTTTATTATAATACAATATAATACCCAAAACGAATTTTAAACAACGTAATGCATGAAGTGAATTCAAATAATCAAGAGAAAAAGTATTATTCTATTTTTTTTTGTGAATATTTTTGTCAATTTCAGTGATTGGATCAAGACTAAGATTTTATTTTTACAATTAAAACGAGATATCGTGACAACAGGGATAGTAAATTTAGAACACTTACTTGCAGATAAAGCTGTGAGTGTGCTGGTCTTCAATAATCTTCCGTACTTCTTCCGATGTTCTAATTTTTTCGTTCTATGTTCTAATGATTTAGGCTCGTGCCTTTCGGGCTTCGACAACACCTTAAAGGTTTTCATTCTTGTACTTCTTTGTTGCCATTCTTGGGCCTTCATCATGGCATCGAGGTGAATGCTTTGAGAGGTATCTGTAAACAAAGTAAATTGTTCGTAAAAATATTGTTTAGTAGAGATGAGTTGAGTTTAGTTGAGTTAAGCGGACCTTCTGTTTTACAATGAATTGGACAAAGTTTAATAAGAATATATTTGAAACAATTGAAGACAACTGTTAAGAGAGAAATACCTGTTACATATTAGCTTTGTTCGCGGTAAGAATCCTGAACCGAATTATTACTAATACTAACGATTTCGCAGACGCAGTAGTTAAAAAGCGTTCGCGGAACAAAAAGAACTGAACTATTGGTTCTATCCTACTTTCGCGGTTAAATTTATTATTGGTTTTGAACCGCTTGTCTATACCTGAAACACCGAGATATAATAGGGATTGTGCGCGCGGTAATAATTCAGAATTGATAATGAATCAGGCATGCGCTCAATGTATGAATTAGTAATTCTGAATCAGTTCAGGATTGTTACCGCGAACGAAGCTAATATGTATGCCTCCCACCAACTATCTGTCCCAGTTGTCGTATGTGCGATTTTCAGTTCAATCAGAGCCATTAGTTCAAGCCACGAAGCTCACGTAGTACTTAGTACCTACTAAATCCATAACGATTGAATATAAAATAGATTCCTGTAATTTACAATGATTTATAACAAAGAAAACATACAGATTTTAAAATGGCATTTTGGAGGTCACTGGATAAAACACATAATGAAAGTGTTTATTGCTGCATTTGAAAATGGACTCAGTCACATTCCACAATTGTTCGGTTTATTTAAAAGTTCGACAGTGTCGAAAATGCAGTAACGTCGACAAAGAACCACTTGTAAAACCAGTTAATGTGGAGCGTGAAAATGGGGAAATAATGTCTTTGCTGTTGTTGGAACCAGCGAATGTTGTTCTAGTACTATAATTGCAGAACAAGTTAATATAAATAAAAAAACTCTTCGGAAAATATTTTAAAAAGAAACGGTTACCATTGTTACAAACTCCAAACATCTTAGGAACGTTTTCCACAAGATAATATTCAATGGATGGAATTTTGTGAGACCTTGATGGAGAAATGCAATGTAAATCTTTGATTTTTAAAACACATCGATTCATCTGTAAATACAGATGAATCGACATTTTTATTGCATAGAAAACACAAAACATCCATTGAACGATATTATTGGTCTCGGGAAAATGAGCACCTGAGTATTCTTGTGCGTATTCAACGTCCACAAAAATTAAATGTTTGGACGGGAATTTTGGACGACTGTTCACAGGTCCCTTTTTTATTGTAGGTAATCTAAATGGTGCCAAATATTTAGATTTACTTTAAAAACAGATTGTTCCGATGGTTCAGCAACTGTCTGTTAAGTTTAGAGAAGTTTGGTTTTAACAAAACGGTTGTCCAAGTCCCAATTTACGGACAGTTACCATGGGCGAAGTTAGGGGGGGGCTTGGGGGGGCTAAGCCCCCCCAAAAACCAAATTAGCCCCCCCAAAAATAATTCGAACATTTATCGCACATCTGTCCACACATTTCAGATTTCAGAACAGAAATTAATAAATAAAGAAAAATCGTGCCATTTGATTGATTCTGAAATTTTACATTTAGTTCAGGAGGCAGTGAATTTTACTCGTACTCATTTTTCCAATCGGTGTATATGAAAATAAACTGTTCACTTATTTTCCCAGTCATAAATATTTTACATTTACTAAACTAGAACATAAAGCTTATAAAAATAGCAGTTTGGAATATATCAGATAGTGGAAAGTGAGTGTGGCAGAAAATTTAGCATATAAATTGATACAATTATGAACTGTTAATAATAATAAGTCTGGCTGATTTATGAAATTGGCAAATGAGTCTGGTAATATCTTCAAAATCGAAAAAATATAATATTTTTGCTTTTATTTTCCCGGGTTTGAAAATTTGTCATGTGATAGATTATATTATAATTTTACAGGTCTATTTTATAGCAGATCAAATACCGTTATTTTCAAACGCTTCCATGAAAAATTTCCGGAAATTTTTCTTTTGGTGGGTACCCTGAACGAAATTATACTGAAAATGTTTTTGACAGTTGAGAAGCTCTTTTATGCATATGTTTTATATGTTGTTCTATGGTCAGCTTTGAAAATTTGATTTTAGTCGTTTTAATGTATGTCTGCCAAGTTTTGAAATTTGGATATTTTGGTGTAAAATTTTCTTACCCAATACCTACCACTGGTGCCTAAATTTTTGCTCACTCACGCATATTTTAAGAAAAATATCAATCGTCTTCGACTCAATCGTTTTCGGAAATAATTTAGACTCATAAGTAGTGTCCGGCCGAAGGTTCGGATACGGTTTTGGCCAACTTCGGCTTAAAATAAGAGTTTCGACTACAGTTTCGGTTTCGGCGGAAAACTGGCCGAGACTGCAGCCAACTACGAAACTACTTTCGAAAGTTTTCGTATCGCACTTGGTTGTGTCCGGCACAATGGCGAATGTGCCGGGTGCCATTCCTACACAGTGCACGTACTTCTCTGCTTTGTTTCAACTGAACAGTCTTCAGTGCTCCTGGTCTAATTTATTCGTATCAAAGGAGCATTTTTTTAGGTGAAACGTGGAAAAAATATTATTTCTAGCCTACAACGTTAGACTGTTTACTTATGAATATTAATTTAATTATAAGTAACAAACATATTTAATTATCTGAATTTGTTTTTTTTTTTTTTAATAAAAATTACATTATATATAATTCCCTTCATAATACTATTTTTTGTTACAAAAAATCTAGAGACAGATGCAGAAATGATTGCTACTTTGTAATTCACTTATTTTTTTTTTTTTTAGTTTCAAAAGTAATAAGAAAAAACAATGTCAATAAATTTATTAATGGCTTCTTTGGATCACATAAATAAATAGGTAATAAGTAAATGTAGCTAAAATGTATAATACGAGTTAATTAGTCTTAAACAAAGATATTGCAAATTTCAATAAGAGATTGCCTTAAAAGAAAGTTCTTATTTCTGTTTCGGTTTCGACCGAAACTAAGAAAGGAGCCGAAATTGGGTTTCGGTTATAAAACCGTATTTCGGTCGGACCTGACAAGCCAGGTAGTTAAACGATGAGAGAAATAGTAATCGAACGTGCAGAATTTAGCGCGCCTGACGATCATTAGACAAGTCTGGCAAGGCTTTCGGGGTATTCCACATTAGCCAGATTGTATTTTAAGCTGTTATCATAATATACATTTTTCTAGTACTGAGGACACTTGTAACAGGGATCCTTACTGGGCATTGCCAACTAAAAGGACACCTTAGTAAACTGAGAGTAGTAGAAAATAGTGAGTGAAGATTCTGTGAGGAGAAGGACGAAACCTTCATTTACATTCTAACTGAATGTGTAGCACTCCAGAATCCAAGGGTACTATACCTAGGAGCATATCAAATAGAAACTTGAAGCCACTCCAAATCCTACACTTCCTTGAGAAGATATAATTGAAAGGGTCGTTATAGGCATTGAGACATTTCCTTGCTGCATTAGCGACAGAAGGGGGCACAATAGATATTTTAGGTCGCAGTGTATTAACACCCCATTCCCAACATAACATAACATAGCGAGAAAATTGCAAAATAATGAAATCCACAAATCCCAGTTCATATTTTGGAAATCCAACTACTATTATTTTTAAAATTTTAAATTCTGACAAACTGTCAGTATATTTTTTAGTCATTAAGATTACATATACGTTAAAATTAGTTATTTTTGTTTATAATCGATAAAAAATAACATTTTAATTTTATTTGGGCCACATTTAAAAAAGTAAATTTTAATCAAATTGTATGAAACTAATTTAATTACGAGTATTAAAATTAAAAACCTAAAAGTGGCGGTGGAGCTGAGGACAGAGCATTTGCCTTCCACGCGAATAGCCTGGGTTCGAATCTGGACTATAGGGGCTAATTTTTTTATGTTTTTTATTTTATAAATTAATAAAATTTATAAATTATTTTAAAATGGCTTATTTTGTCTTAATCTAAAATAATTTTTTAAATTTGTAGATTTTCGTTAGTAGTTCGTAGAAAAAATATACTGCACAACTCGAGTGGATTGTCCATATCAACTCTTGTTGCGAAAATTAGAGAAATTTTTGTGATGAAAATTATTGTCATGAAAATGAAAATTATTCAGTTTTTTCACTTATATATGATATTTTATTAATTTTCATAGATTCGCCAGAATTTTTTTACTTAACTTCAGTATACCTCTAGAACTGTTATATATTATATGACTAGGGTTAGGGCTTTAGCCCCCCCAGATCTGATGACATAACTTCGCCCATGTCAGTTACAGAATTCCATGAAGCTACATTTAGAGATCATTTAATCTCTACACGTTGTTCAATCAAGTGGCCTCTAAGATACCAGTTTATCATTTATTTTTTTGTGCGGGTTTTTGAATAAGCCCGTGCATCGACACGCTTTTGAAAGAGCAACAAATCTCGATGTTATGTTGGGAATGGGGTGTTAATACACTGCGACCTAAAATATCTATTGTGCCCCCTTCTATCGCTAATGCTCTCTTCTCAAGGAAGTGTAGGATTTGGCGTCGCTTCAAGTTAGGTAAATCTCCCTCTTCTATTTGATAAGCTCCTAGATATAGTGCCCGTGGATTCTGGAGTACTACACTACACATTCAGTTAGAATGTGAATCTGCACTCACTATCTTCTACTACTCTTAATCTTTCAAGTTTGAAGGACAGAAGAACTAGAGACTTGATAGAAACTTACAAGTGGACCAGGGGGTATTACACCTGCGATAACATCTTCCAGGTCAGCACACCAAGAACCTTGATAGTAGGTTTGCCACCTTCTTGAAAAGTGAATAAAGTACATTTCAAAGAAACCTTAGATATACCGACTTTATGAATGTGAGCAAGGCGTTCGCGAAGGGTATCACGGTAAACCGCTTAAAATGCACCGCATGCAGTTTTTTCCACTTTTTAATAACTTATCATTGAACAATAATATCTTAATTAGGTAGTTACAT